CCTGCACTAAGATTCCAACCCTAAACCCTAAACCCTAAAACCAACAAGCCAAGGCACATGGCGGCAAGTTAGGCATTTCCAACCAACCCTATGCACCCTCTCAACCACTAGGAACCCTGGAACCCGCCATAAGCCCAAGCACTAAAAGCCCTAGACCCTAAAACATTACATATGTCCTAACAACCTAACAACCCTGCACTCAAGCCCTGAAAGCCTTAAAAGCCCCCATAAGCACCTAAATCCTAGTGACACCCCACGAGATCTAGTCTGAGCTGAAGAAGCTGCGTTCTTCACGCCATGCTGCAGCAAAGTTTTTGCATCGCGTTGGTTAGTACGTAGTGGGCTTTATGGTTTAGGGTTGAGAGTTTGGGGCTTATGGGTTGAGAGTTTACACGTTTGGGGGCGGGGGAATGGGGTATTTAGTCAACTGCTGCGTCGATTCATTTTCGACACTATTCCTTCATTACCTACTACCGCAAAGTAAGTAACAGCTAACAAGCGGCAGCCTTTGTGGGAACCTTTCGCTTTTTCTGAGGAATTGTATTCCATGACTGGGCTTGCTCATACAAGTTGCAATGTGACGCCCCTAAGCCAGCCCTGCAACCCTAAACCCTAAACCCTAAACCCTCAGCCCTAAACCCTAAACCCTAAACCCTAAACCCTCAGCCATGTAGCTTGGCCCATCTTCTCCAGTGGTCTCCACGAGGGTATTCGGGTAGGGCCAAGGCTTTCAGTCGAAGGTTCCGGGTATGGGCCCCTTAGGACTTAGGGCTTATAGGGTTTAGGTTTTAGGGTTTAGGGTTTAGGGTTTAGGGTTTGGGCCCTTAACTCGGGTCCCTTGCTAAACAACCGTGTATACACGGTACGTAGTAGGGCCCATACTTCGGATCCCTAAAAACAAGGGTAAGGGACTGGAAAGCGTAGCGTACCGGAAGCCTTACATCGGTAAATGCCATCCTAAACCCCAAGCCCTAAACCCTAAACCATCCTAGCCCTAAACCCTAAACCCTAAACCCTAAACCCTAAAAAACCTAAACCCTAAGCCCTAAAAACCCATCCTAAGCCCAAGGAAGCTTCGGAGTTCTTGGACAGACCCAAGGTCCCCAGCCGTGCGGTCGTGCGAGGCTGAGAATAGATGGTTGTCGATCGTCAACTGGCAGAGGGTTTAGGGTTTAGGGTTTAGGGTTTAGGGTCTAGGGCTACTATGGTTTAGAGTTTAGGGTTCAAGGTTTAGGGTTTTAGGTTTTTAGGGTTTTAAGGTGTCAGGTTTTGGGTTGTCGATCGTCAACTGGCAAAAAGAAGAATGCTCGGTTTAGGGTTTTGGGGTTTTGGGGTTTTAGGGTTTTAGGGTTTTAGGGTTTTCCTAAACCCTAAACCCTAAACCCTAAACCCTAAACCCTAAACCCTAAACCCTAAACCCTAAACCCAATTCCCAAACCCTGTTTGGGCAAAAGTCGTAGCAGCTGGAGGCTGCGAGGTGTTCCGTGGTTCCGCTCTGGCGCCGGATGCTGCGAGCTTTCAATCCTCTTGGGGTTTAAGGCTGAGCCCATGAAGGGTTTAGGGTTTAGGGTTTAGGGTTTAGGGTTTGGGGTTTGGGGTTTGGGGTTTAGGGTTTGGGGTTTGGGGTTTAGGGTTTGTGTGCGGTTCAGGGTTTAGGGCTGCCACTTCAATAGCCTGATACTATGACAATCATATTAGGAAAATATACCAGAAGCAGGAAAAAGACTGAAAGCTTGCGCATATGACTGCAACATTCTCAACGCCTCACAAGTCCGAGTACGAGCTTCCGATGGCACTGCACTTTGAAGCTTACTCAGGGGATCCATGGGTAGTTCTAGCTGGGGCTAGAAGTAGGGTAGCTTTACTTCTGTAGCCACATTTAGGGCACTTATAACCCTACTACTTCCAACATATGCAAAGCATGCGGAGGTCACCAGCTCAGAGATAGGACCACGATGACCTCAGGAATGTTGCTTCCTCTCTCTCTCTCTCTCTCTCTCTCTCTCTTGTGTGGACTTTTAAAGGAGCCTTACAAGGGCTTGTGGTCCATTTACAATGGGTTGTCGTGGGTGCGGTACGTGGATTACGATCTCAAGGCTGGAGTTACAGGTCTTGGTGGCCGATGGTAGCGCGCACTGTGTCGCGCCAGAAACTTGTTCTCCTGCCTCCTGCCTACCATCAACAGACCACCACCAACTACCACCACCACGACTATGACGACTACCACCACCACCACCAAGCCCGGTTTAGGGTTTGGGGTTTTGGTTTAGGGACAGCAGCCCCTGCATGACTGTTTGGGTTTAGACAGATGCAGAAGGCCCTAACAACCCTCAGAACCCTAAGGTAGGTTTAGAAGTTTAGGGGAGGGGAGGGTGATGCTCACCTCCCGGCTTGGCCCCCGCACCCTGCAGCATGTCCTGGCAGTGCCTGAATTTGCTTGGGCTCTACGGTGAATTCTGGGGGCGGTTCTGGTGGTGCACTTCCGGGTACCAACGACAGCCCAGAATGCGAGGCCGATCGCCTTTGCTTAGGGTGCTGCAGTGCACACAAGGGGCAAGCTGAAACCATTTCAGCCCTATCACCACACCCCAAATTCAAAGGCCCAAGTCACTCTCCGAGTGCCAGAGATTCGAGGCACAAGTTCCGGATGCACGCGTCAGAGGCAATGAAATATTGTGCACTCAGAGGCAGAGGCTACGTATTTAGAATTTTGTGGTATCAGACATCGTGGCTCGAGAGCTACAAGCGCACTGATAAAAGACGATCTGAATCCATACATCCGACCCCCCGCTACCACCAGGGCCCGCGCAGGTCCGTGTCCCAAATCTTGATGATGGAATCCTGTGAGCAATGGCGTAGTCTTCGAGAGACCCCATACGGGTCCTCAAAGGCTTTGAGGTACTTGTCATTCCCCAAAGCAACCCTCTAAGAGATCCAAAATCCTAAGCCCCAAGCACCAAAACCTAAAGCCCTAAATCCCCTAAACCCTTCAACCCTCAAACAAGAACTCTTCGGATGCAGGGCCGTGACCCAGACTCAGGGCGTGCCAAGTCGTGTGCTTCCGGGGCGACCTCCCCCCCACCCCGCCCCCCCCCCCCACCCCTAAACCCTAAACCCTAAACCCTAAACCCTCAACCCTAAACCCTAAACCCTAAACCCTAAACCCTAAACCCTAAACAGAATGCACAGGCCCCCACACAAACTCACAGGACGCAAATCCAAAACTAATTACCAACCTGCCAGGCCCACAAGAGGGCTTAGGGTTTAGGGTTTAGGGTTTAGGGTTCAGGGTTTATAGGGTTTAGGGTTTATAGGGTTTAGGGTTTAGGGTTTAGGGTTTAGGGTTTAGGGTTTAGGGTTTAGGGATTGGGGTTTAGGATTAGGGTTCAGGGTTTAGGGCTTAGGGATTTTACATCCACGCCGAATGGCCCCCACCCGGCCTTGCCACCGCTGAAGAGCAGGTTCTCGGAGGGAGAGAGCGCCAGGGCTGTCAGCCAGTCACCTACCGGCTCTCACCCTAAACCCTAATTAAACCCTAAACCCTAAACCCTAAACCCTAAACCCTAAGCCCTAAGCCCTAAACCCTAAACCCTAAACCCTAAACCCCAAACCCCAAACCCCAAACCCCAAACCCCAAACCCCAAACCCCAAACCCTACACCCCAAACCCGAAACTCAACACCCTACAAGCCCAACCTCTCTGTCGGGTTTCATGCCGCAAGCCCCCCACCAGCACTTTTCCCCCCCCCCCCCCCCCGGTTCCCTAATACCCTCAGACCCTCAAACCCTAAAACCCTAAAAACTCTAAAACCCTAAAACCCTAAAACCCTAAAAACCCTAAAACCCTAAAACCCTAAAACCCTAAAACCCTAATACCCTAATACCCTAAAACCCTAAAACCCTAATACCCTAAACCCTAATGCCCTATTACCCTAATACCCTAATACCCTAAACCCCAAAGGTAGTATAGAGCCCTAAACCCTAAACCCTAGACCCTAAACCCTAAACCCTAATACCCTAAACCCCAAAGGTAGTATAGAGCGGGGGTAGTAGGGGCAACCCCATGCGGCCTTGCGCGTGAGGCAGCTGGAGGTCACTCTCCAGGCTGCGGCAATCCCACCGCCGGAGGGACCTGCTCGAGTGGGTTTATAGGGTTTAGGGTTCAGGGCTTTGGCGCCCTCAACCCCACACCCTCCGGGTCGATTTCATAAGCCCTAGAATGGGGGGGTCATAGGTGTAGGGTTTGGGAACTTGGTAGCCTAGCAACCATCTTTTACAGTAAGGGTACGTACTCTATTTTGGGTTGGTTACTGTAAAAGGGAACCCAGAACCCCCCCCCCCCCAACAAGGGTAAGGACTCTAGTAAGGACACCACTGGGCTACTAAGGGAATCAACCGCCAACTCAACCGCCCAACATCGGGGTTATACGTTTAGGGTTTTGGGGCTGGGGTTTAGGGTTCCGGGATTAGGGTCATAGAACAGAGCCAAAAACTGGGTCAGATGAGTCAGGCTACATGACCCAAAACTACGATATATGAGCATTTCCCCAAATAGGGGTACCCGTAGTATTCCCTTAAAATATTGGAAACCTTACGCTAGGAACCCCCAAAAGGGTAACCCTATTTTCTGAAACCCCATATTCCAGCGACAGCGGGCCACAGCCCCAAGGCGAACAGAAAGTAGGGTTTAGGGTTTAGGGTTTAGGGTTTAGGGTTTAGGGTTTAGGGTTTAGGGTTTAGGGTTTAGGGTTTAGGGTTTAGGGTTTAGGGTTTTTAGGGTTTAGGGTTTAGGGTTTAGGGTTTAGGGTTTAGGGTTAAGGGTTAAGGGTTAAGGGTTAGGGTTAGGTTTAGGGTTTAGGGTTTAGGGTTTAGGGTTAGGGTTTAGGGTTTAGGTTGGTTAGGGTTTAGGGTTAGGGTTTAGGTTTAGGGTTTAGGGTTTAGGTTTTAGGGTTTAGGGTTTTTAGGGTTTAGGGTTTAGGGTTTAGGGTTTAGGGTTTAGGG